TTTAGTAATACGACAGGAGCTTACCAGGGACTATCTGATTTTTCAACTATATCTTCCTTAATTAGACCGTCCACGACCTTCTCTATCTCTTGTCGCTTTGCTGGAGCTATTCTCCTTGGAGGTATCTTTATTGGATGGTGATTGCCTGTGTTTATTCTGTGCTCTAGCAGGTTTGTGCATCCGAGGTCATGATCTCCTTTCGAAAAGACGTCAACATAATTTGCAAAAAGTTCTTTTACCTGAAGAGCCTGTGATGATGACAAATGGACTATGCTCTTCTTATAGAGGTCAGTCAAATATTCTGGAAGTGTATGTCCTTTCTTTATAGTTGTATTTCTTGCATTAACATTGACTGGCTCTACTTCCTGGCACACACCCAACAACGCCCCTTCCTTAAGTGTCTGCTCACATTTAGAGAATTGGCCACTGGTATAGGTACTACTTGATGACCTGCTACAAGAGACCTTCCAATCTTCAAATCCGCTGGCCTGGATGGGTCTTCCACTGCTTCTACAAGCATTGGGCTTCCATGGGGATGTTCTTTTATCCTACCCCAAATTATCTTCTCTGACATGGGGGGTATTGTAGTTGATTTAAGTGCTGTGACATGCAGATCAATGGATGTAGCAACACTTACTGGAATCTGGCCTTTGTTGTTCCCAAACGTCATTTTGTCGAAGATAACTACACACTTCGTCGGTAGTAAGTAGTCCAACCCTAATATGCATTGGTCTTCAATGTCAGCCAAGTATACTTTGTGTCTGTCCTTCATGCCCATGAGCTCAATAGTTACCCACACTGGTCCCCACAACCCTGCAGAATGTCCTGTCACACCACAGAGCTTCTGTACAGCTTCTGGTACTCCTTTGTTATCGAGCACCTTGATACTCACAAGGGTTTGCTGAGATGCAGAATCTATGACAAAGTTGCACCTTTGGCCATCCAGCTTTCCTGTCACGTAAACACTATGTGTGCTTGGCATTTTACACTTAGCTGTTAGGACTTTCACAATGGGGGTCGGTAGGCGTTCATCAACATGAACCACTACTGGTTTTCTTGAGACTGACTTATTGGTAATTGATTGAGAAAGAATAAACTAGGTTTATTTAAGAAAGAACTTGTATCGCTGAAGTTTCTCGGAAAGAATTTCTACGAAAAATTAATAAACGAACACAGACGTAACAATACTAAACCTATTTGTCACCGCCCTTAACTCTGAATTAATGACCAGAGGGAAGGATTAAGGAAGGGGCAGTGTTACAACAGTGGAAGTCATGCAACGCTGGGAGCATGCGAGCTGGAGTTTCTCGAAGGATTATGAATTTTCCTGGCAACTCTAGTTTGTTCAAGGCGCCCTCTTTTTTAGTATATAAGCCTGGCGAGAAACACCAGCGCGATTGAAGAGATATAGATAGATATGCAGAGAGATTGAAGAGATAGATAATTGAGTCGAGCGAACAGTAGGTACCATAAGTAAGTGTGTGAATCACTGTGATTTATACCATGTGTTATAAAGATTGTTAAGTTTAAAGTGGCTGTGGAAATTAAGTGTATTACAAAGTTGTATCG